AATCCGGCCTCCCCGGTTTGCAAGGCGGGCTCCATCTCCTCAGTGGCCAAACTGAAGCCTGCATTTCTTTGGTGGGGGCGGGGAAGAGGAGGTGGAGTGAAGGGGTCACTCAGCTTGTCTAGACTAGGGGCGTGGGGGGGGGAGGGACACGCTGCACAAGTTTGCAAAAGATAACGGTCATTAGAATCGCAGGCTTACTTACTTTACTTTGAGATCAGGGAAACAGACCTTGCACTTGGCAGGACTCATATTGACCTGCCCGCCGACCAATCCCACCCGGCTCCTGCCGGAATGCCGTGCATGCACCCCTGAACGCCCTGAAGCGGACCCCGGTCCCGGGGCGCAGCAGGGCAGCGACAGGGAGGCGGAGGCGCGGTCCGAGAGTGGCTCGGGCCGGGCTGTGCAGCAGCCTGCAGGTGCCGGCCCGAGCGCTGAGCTTCCTCCATCCCGAAAAGAGTCCTGCGCGCAAGTGTCCGGCAGCCGCGCCCGCCCAGGCCCCGCCCCCAAACGGACCCCTCCTCCCAGAAGGGTCCTGCCCCCTCGCCGGGCCCCGCCTCCCAGCCCCGCCGGCCAGGTCCCGCCCCCCGCACCGGCCAATCATGGAGCCGCAGCTGACCTTGGGCGCGGGGAGACAGTGGCGGGAGACGTAAAAAACAAAACAAAACAAAACAAAAAAACCCCTCTTGGCTACTCTCTTCCCCAGCTCGCCTGCCCGGAGTAGAAGGGTCCCAGGATAGCACCCCCTAGGTACTGGCAGCCGGGCAAAACTCACAAGCATGTAATGTGCTTGAATACACACTCTAGGGAAGTGGTGGAAAATCTGATTTATTTAAAATAGAAGTCAGGGGCGTCTGGGTTCAGAGCCTCACTCTTGACTTTGGCTCAGGTCATGATCTCAGGGTTAGTGGGATGCAGCCCTCCCTCGGGCTGAGCTGACAGTGCGGAGCCTGCTTGGGATTTTCTCTCTCCTCTCTCCTCCTCTCTCTGTCCCGCCTCTGCGTTCTCTCTCTCTCTCTTTCTTTCATATCTCTCTCTCTCTCTCTCTCTCTCTCAGAATAAGTAAATTTTAAAATATGAGTCAAATGTCACCACTGCAGAGACTGGTAAGGGCCCCTGAGATCACGTCAACTTCTGGCTTCCAAGTTCCTGGTTTTGCTTATTCTTTCACCTCTATTCCCAGGGACAAGTTTGCTCCAGGTCCCTCTGCCCCCAGAGAGCTTCTATCACACACTTTGGACCGCATGGGTCGCCTGACAAAGTGAGTGCTTTCAAGACAGAGAAGACCCCGGCTGCCCTGTAACTCTAAACAGGCTGCTTTCGGGCATCTGGCTATGGAATGAATCAGTCACCGGAATGAAAGGGACAGCATAAGGAATATAGTCAATGATAGTGTAGTAGTGATGTATGGTGACAGATAGTAGCTACACTTGTGAGCACAGCATAACATATATAGACTTGTCTAATCACTGTCATACACTTGAAACTAATATAACATTGTGTGTCAGCCACATTCAAATAAATACATTTTTTTAAGCTTTCTGGTAAGACCAACATACACTGAGTGCTCTTTTGTGCTTTTATCTTATTTAATAGCGATCCTATTGTTTTTAATTTTTTTTAATTTTAAGTTTATTTATTTTTGAGAGAGAGAGAATACACGATCAGGGTAGGAGCAGAGAGAGAGGGGGGAGAGAGAGAGGGAGAGAGAGAATCCCAACCAGGCCCTGAGCTGTCAATGCAGAGCCCGATGTGGGGCTCAAACTCCTGAACCATGAGATCCTGACCTGAGCAAAAACCAAGAGTGGGATGCTTACTACACTGAGCACCCCCCGCCCGGTGCCCCAACAATCCTATTGTTTTTATTTCCATAATGCAGATAAAGAAACATGACCCAAAGATGTACATTTCTTAAGGGTGACAGAGCTGGAGGCTTGAACCCAGGCAAACCGATTCTACTTAGAATGAATACTTCTCCAAGTAGTTTTAATAAATAAAAAGAATCCAAAACACTGCCTAGAAAACATTGCAATGATAATAAGTGTAGCCTGTGTTCACAGCAAGCAAAAAGCCAAAAACTAACACAAATGTTTGCAAATGAGTTCCCACTGAGAGGCACAGCTAGGGCCTCGCCTGCAGGAGGCGCTATCAACATGGCCACAATGCGAACAATGAACTCTCCTAGGAGTTGTGTAAGCAGCCCTGTCTGAGGGCACCAGTTAGCCGTGCTCTAACCATATATTAACTGTTTCAACAACGGGATTCAAAAAAATAAAACAGGTGAACAAAATTCTGTCCTTCAGAATTTCTAGAAGGTTCTTCATGGCCTTGTCTTCCTCCAAAACAAACCCCACCTTAGGCTGATTTATTTTTTAAAGTTTCAAACCAACCTGCTCCTGAGTTCATCCTGTAAATGACCCAAATTTAATATATTCCCCCTCAAAATAGGGAAAACAATTAAAATCCAGAAACAAAAGTATTTCAAAACACCCCTACCCTACCCAAAGTCAGTTAGGATCAGGTGGGAAAGAACTCGCATCAGCTGACTTGCATTGCTCTGGATTTTTATTCTCTGTGGACAAAACTCCAACACCTGTTGAACACTGTGGGACGCTAACTTCTCTGCTAACACAGCCCGAGAGATGTCATAACATACCTCACTTTTACGTGGGGGCTCTCAAGAAAGGGGTTTCACTTCAGTGTCTGCACTTGGCATCTCACCAGAGTGATAGTGACTTGGTTTTTTCTCTGCCTGCCTTATTAGGAAAGATAAGATTGGAAGGAAAGAATAACACACACCCGTATGCACAATACCGCCTTTATGTAAACATCTTTAAACAATTGTCACTGTGATTTCGATGACAGTTCAAACTTGGCTGTAGATGCAGTCTTGTGTTACAAGCCCTTCTGCTCAGACTCATCAGAGGCTAAATTTAACTTGTTGGTATTGCAGAGGGAAGAGCCACGTCAATGGCAAATGACACACACAAAACAAGAAATGACCCACGTGCAAGGGACCAGTGGCCCAGTGGAAATTCCTGAGCAGTGAGCTGCCTCAAGCCTGTCCCTGTGCTCTCAGTGCCCCTGAGCAAACCTCCTCTCTCTACGTCACCTGTAAAACCTTCCATATATAATGTGCGCTCATTCAGACAAAAATAAAATAATCCCTGGGGCACCTGGGTGACTCAGTCTGTGAAGCGTCTGACTTCGGCTCAGGTCATGAGCTCACGGTTCATGAGTTCAAGCCCCGCTGACAGCACAGAGCCCGCTTTGGATCCTCTGTCCCTCCCTCTCTCTGCCTCTCCCCTGCTCCCCTGCATGCAAGTGCAAGCTCTCTCTCCCCAAAATAAATAAACGTTAACAAAATAATTTAAAATAATCCCTTTCAATATGTAACGGAAGAAATGTTACATTAAGCATAGAGCAGAAGTGAAAGATTTTTCTAAATTAGGATACAGATGGGGCGCCTGGGTGGCTCAGTCTGTTGAACATCCGACTCTTGATTTTGGTTTAGGTCATGATCTCACAGTTTGTGAGATGGAGCCCACGTTGGGCTCTGTGCTGACAGTGCAGAACCTGCTTCAGATTCTCTCTCTCTCCTTCTCTCTCTCTCTCTCTCCCTCTCTCTCTGCCCCTACCCCACTTGTTCTCACTGTGTCTCTCAAAATAAATAAACTTAAGGGGTGCCTGGGTGGCTCAGTCAGTTAAGCATCCGGCCTTGGCTCAGGTCATAATCTCACCATTTGTGGGTTCAAGCCCTGCATCGGGCTCTGTGCTGACAGCTCAGAGCCTGGAGCCTGCTTTGGATTTTGGGTCTCCCTCTCTCTCTGCTCCTCCCCTGCTTGCACTCTGTCTGCCTCTCTCTCTCTCTCTCTCTCTCTCAGAAATAAACATTTAAAAAATGTTAATAATAAAAAAATAAGTGAACTTTAAAAAATATATAAAAAATAAAATAAAATAGGTTAGAGATACTTAAGAGAGAGAAAGAAATGATTAGTCTCTCTGGATCCTATATCAATAGCCAGCCTCTTCTGAACCTCAATATCCAGTCCACAAATGAAACAATGCAAACACAGAGACTCCCTTCCCCCGAAGCTCCCAGAAAACATCCTTGGAGCTAAAAAGAGTTGAAAACTGGGGTTTTAAATTAAAACATTATTGAAAGATCCATGGCATGTCATTGAGGGACAAATAACAAATATTTATAGACAATTTGAAGTTTTATGACCTGCCCGCTCCTTGGAGCAGAGGAGGGGAGACGATGAGCTGGAAGGATCTGGAAGATACCCGAGCAAGCCCACCCAGGGTGTTATCTGGGGCAGAAGAGCAGCAGGGTCCCGGCTGTCAGGTGCTCGCCTGCGGTGTTCCTTCACTGCAGTCCAGACCCCACAGACCAGCACTCGCCTCCCCAGGGTCTGCGGTCTGCCTTGAGAAGCCTCACTTGAACTCAGCACTCCCAGCAGGGAAGTGAGCAGCTGGGGAAAGGCCCAGCACCTGTGCGCTGCTCTGTTTCACCGCTTTGTCAGGGACACTTCACCTGCCCCCCTCCACCTCCTCCCCTGCAGACACAGGCTGCTGTACCTTAAGGATATACTCCTGGAGGGGCCTGGGAAGGGCCATGGCCACAGCCAAGAGCTTTGGAAGATGCCCATTCAGCTGCCAGCACACGAGGCAGCCCCTGGGCGGCCCACACCTGCCACTTCCTCTCTCGTGATCTCATCACGCTGGGGAGGTAGACACCAGCATCGTCCCGCTTGGATGGAGAAGGAAATTGCAGCCCAGAGAGCTCACAGGACTGGTCTGAGATCCGAAGCCCTTGCTGTGATCACTGTGCTCGGCACCCAGTGACAGTGACGGTGCCGTGGCACCGCGGGCTCACAGTAACCCTGCTAAGCGTGGCATGGGCCCTGTGAGGTAGGCAGCACTGTGACCTCATTCTGGAGGGTGCAGAGACACAGGAAGGTGAAAAGCTCAGCCCAGGTCACTTGACAGCCCAATGGAGGAGTCAGCGTGCCAGCCCTCCATTGGCCACTGTGGGAAATTCTCTGGGCTGGTGGCCTCTTAGGCTGCTTCCTAGCCTGGCCTCTCTGAGCGCAGGGGCCAGGTCCCACCATCCGAGCACCCACACACAGTGCCGGCACAGAGCCTGGCAGCCAGTAGGGCGGTGATGAATGCTCCCAAGCCCGTGAATGGATGGGACCCACCTTAACTTCTCCACGTGACCGCTTCATCTCCGAGTGTGTCCTTATGTGTACCCAGGAGTACCCACACCATCCACAGTAACTGGCCCGGGAGAAGGTGGTTCGAAATTAACAAACCTTCCCCAGCTGCCTTCCGCCCGCTCTTCCAGCCCCCTGCACACCCCTCCACACACCAAGAAACAAAAGCAAAGGCTGCTGGAGCCACGAAGGACCTCAGAGCATCCAGTCCAGCCCCCTGAGAGGGTAGGTGACATACCCAAGGTCACAGAGGTTAATGGCTGCCCTGTGAATTGCCTGCCCTGCCTCCGACTCTTCTCACTGCTGCCAAGAAAGGTTAGGAGGGGGGTAGGGACATCTTTGCCGGAGCCCAGGTTAAGCATCAATACCGGGAGTTCACAGACCACTTTCTGACCTGCACCTGCTGAGGGTCCGGGTTCGAATGGCGCTCAGGGCCTATGATGATCTCTCTGGGAGACTGCTGATAGACCCCTGAACCACTCAGGGCTTCAGCTTTTTATCTGGGAAGTGGGGTGACTGGTTCACTTTTCCTCCCAATATTTTTTATAATGTCTTATTATTAAACATTGTTAATGCTTGTTATAACAATATCTACTGCAGGAAGTTGGAAAACACAGAAGAAAATTTAAATGACTCATAACTGTACCTTATAAAGACAATGATTATTAACTATTCTGACACGTTCCTTACAGACTTTCCAGCCACACACACATGCACACACACATACACACATACACACACACACACACACACATTAAGTACCCACATTTTCTGTGCTTACTAATTGCTCAGAAATCGAAGCACATTACATTCATGTGTCCACAATGCCTCATCTGAACTACCAGGACTCAATATGCTTTAGAATTTAGGAACTTTTGGGGGGGGATGATTGTGAAGCTTTATGTTATACGTTTTCATGTTACTATTTCAGCAGCAGAAGGCATGAATATCCACACAAAACGGGATAAATAAAGACTACAGATAACTTGACATCCATTCAAGGTGGATTTTGCTGCTAAATGAGTTCACCACCAACTAATGAACTTCCAGGTCATAACTTTATTTTTTTTTCAGTTTATTTATTTATTTATTTTGAGAGAGACAGAGACAGAGAATCCTAAGCAGGCTCCACACTCAGCACAGAGCTTGATGTAGAGCTCCGTCTCATGAACCGTAAGATCATGACCTGAGCCAGAATCAAGAGCAGGACCTTTAACTGACTGAGCCACCCAGGCACCCCCTGGGTCATAACTTTAATTTTCAGGACTATGGTTGTGTGATCCTGAACCTGTCCTCTCCCATTGAGTCCACACACGTACCCACAAGGTAGAGTATTAGGGCAACAAACCAACTAATAAGAGACAGCTCTGAACCGGCCTCTTACCCCAGACCCATTGCGTACGAACCACATTGCCACTTGGTGAGCAAAGTGGGATTACCTGTAGCCTTCATTTCACAGCATGTGAGCACTGTCCATGTAATGTTCTCACCAGCTTTGTTTTCTAAGGGTTGCGTGGGAATTCCACCACTTGGGGCCTATTTCCAAGTCCAAGGAAGAGTCAGGTCCCAACAGCTGGCCTGAGATGCACCCAAAAGGGAAGAGACGAGGAAGGGACTTGAACAGACAGCACGAAGTCACTGGGTCCATCATCTCAGCTGGCCCCTGCTGGCCAGGAAGATGGGAGGGAACGGGGGATTATAGAACCATATTAAATGCAGAAGAAAAGTTGAGGTGGCAGGGGCGGGGGTGGGGGACTGCCAAACACCAAGCGACTGAAGTTTCCAGAGATGACGAAATACCAAAGCCAAAAACTCTGCAAGAGGATAACAGAACGCTCAGCGTCACGTGGATGTCATGTTTCCGGTCAGCTGGAACACGCAGGTTCTGACATCACTTTTTCATTCAACAACCACCTGAGACCAGAGCACCACACAGGTGCCTGAGCCCGGACTCCCTGAAGACACCTCCACCCAGGGTTCTCATCCCAGCTCGCTGGGAATAAAGGACACATGCCGGTCCCCTCCATTGGAGGCTCCCAACTTGGGGACCCTAGTAGAGCTGGAAATGTTCCTCACAGAAATGCCACTGCCTTGGGAGGCACCAGCAAGACTATCTGAGTTGTCCTGGGTGCAAATCCTAAATTCCAGGCTCTGGAAAGCACATAGATTAAGGGGCAAACGAACCGTGCGCCCAGTGAGATCACTGACCAGGGGTCACACGTCGGGGGGCTGGTCCAGCCTTCTCTTGCCACGGATGAGGAAGTGGAGGTTCAGAGAGGGCAAGGGACCCCACTCAAGGTCACACAGCACACTGGTCCTCCCTGTGCCCGACTGTGGGCCTCTGCACCTCCCAGCACCCCCCAGTTTATAAAACACCAAGATCAGATCCCTCTGCGCCTCCTGGCTAAGTTGCCATGCTAGGAAGATGCAAGCACAGAAAATGCATTTCCTAATTTGCTCACTGATTCAAAGACAGGCGAGTATCTTTTGCCTTTGTTTATTCACCAGCTCAGAAAAGCTGTCATTTAAGCACAAACCAGCAAAGCTCCCTTAAAAATGGGGTGGGAAGACGGTGAGGGATGGCTGGGAGATCTGTCCCAGCTCCGTAGTTTAACGCGCCGTTTACTGAGTGCTGTGTGCTCTTGCTGCGTACCCTAGAAACATCAGTGTATCCGATCTTCACAACTTGCCAGGACTCCAAACCTCAGGAGGGAATAATAACGGTAAAGATGTTACTGTTTTGGCAGCCCTGCAGTCTTGATAAGTTTTTAGTTAACATGGGTAGAAACAATTCACACAGTTGACTCCTTCTTACCCATTAGGGCCAATCTGTGCTAGTGTAAGAGCTGGCAGCCACATGACGCTATGTGAATTTCAAGTAAAATTAAATTTCTTAGTTCTTAAGGGGGCACCTGGGTGGCTCATTCATTTAAGCATCTGACTCTTGATTTTCGTTCAGGTCATGATCTCAACGGCTTGTGAGTTTGAGCCCCAAGTCGGGCTCTGTGCTGACAGTGCAGAGTCTGCTTGGGATCCTCTCCTTCCCTCCCTCTCTCTGCCCCTCCTCTGCTTGAGCACACACACACTCTCTCTCTCAACATAAATAAATAAACAAATAAATAAATAAACTCAGTTCCTCAGTCACACCAGCCACACATCCATCTCAAAAGGCACACATGACTCGTGGCTACTATAGCGGACAGCACAGTTCTAGAACATTCTATTCTACAACATTCCATCATGGTAGAAGGTTCTGTCAGCCTGCTGCTTCTAAGGGCTCTCCCTCCACCTGACCATCTCTTTCTAAAATAGATCCCCTTGGGGGACCTGGCTCAGTCGGTTAAACATCCGACTTCGGCTCAGGTCATGATCTCATGGTTCGTGAGTCTAAGCCCCACATCAGGCTCTGTGCTGGCAGCTCAGAAGCTCAGAGCCTGGAGCCTGCTTCAGATTCTGGGTCTCCTTCTTTCTCTGCCCCTCCCTCACTCATGCTCTCTCTCTCAAAAATAAACATTTAAGCAATGTTTAAATAAATAAAATAATAAAATAGATCCCCTCAGGCATTCCCTCTCTCATACCTGCTTTCCTCCTGGCATTGGCCGTGCTGAGAAATGATCTTATCAGTGTACCTGATTATTTGTACTTTTCCCATCTTCCTGCTAGAACTCTCCTTGAAAGCAGCAACATCCTGCTTCCTGCTGGAGCTATTGTGATAAACAGGCCACACCGCCTCTCCTACACAGATACCACTTACCAACCCCGGGTGGACGACCACTTCTGACATAGTCTCTGGTGTATGTCAATTTCGGTGAATTTGCTCAGTAAACCGCTCTTCCCTAATCCCTGCCCAAACTGCCACATGAAGGCTAAGAACCGGTCGGGAAGAGTGAGCATGTTGGCACTTTCTGGAGAGGCAACCCCTGGGCTCGGCGGAACCAAGCGTGAAGCCTGACGGACCTGGCCTTGAACCTCGGCTCTGCCCCTCCACAGCTGTGCGACCTTGGGAAAGGTATGCCACAGATCTGAGCCCCGGTTTTCTCATCTGTAAAATGGGGACCCACCACCAGCCTTGTGCTGTTGTTCTAAGGGGTCAATGGATAATTTATATACACTGTAAAGAGGTGGGTGAAGTGGGTGTTGGGACAAAGGACAAGCCACAGGGAGGTGCTGCAGAGGAATCTGTTGCTTATTAAGTACACACTGTGTACCAGTCTCTGCATACTTTACAATCATTATGCCGTTTAATCAGGTCAATGTTTGGCAGATGAGGAACTGAGGCCAGGAGAGGTGAATGCCATGCCCAAGGTCACGCAGCAGGGGGTGGCAGAGCCCTGGCTGAACCAGCTCTGGCTCTGACACCAAGAACTGCTCTTTGTACCAGACTGGAAGGGGGGAAGGGCACCAGAAGGGAAGCAGAGGCCCTGGCCAGGTCATGGTTGGTGGCTCTCTTCTTTTCTCCGCTTGTCTCTCTTTCCCGAGTTTTCTACCTGGAACTACCGTATTCTGTTTGCAATTGGGGAACGGAGGCGGCAAAGCTCAAAGACAACAACAACAAAACAAACAAAGCCACCAAATGCACACCTAGGCTAGACACTGACCGCTGGATGCGGTCACGCTGAGTTTTTGCTTTGAAGGCATCCGTAAGGGGAAGGTATGGTTGAAAGAACCGGGGAAAAATAAACAAATGTCTTCAGGACGCAGGGAACCTGGTCCCTCCCTCCAGCCCCCATCATCCCACACGGCTCATCAGCCCTAGCTCATTCAGCTTAAATTATAACTAGTCACACACAGAGTTGTTTTCCCAACTAGGCTAAGTTCTTTCTAGAAAGATGGTCTCCTGGCATGGAGTAGCTGCTCAACAAATGGTTTTAAAAGGAAGGAAAGAAGGCGGCGCTTATGTTTTCTGCATTTCCCTTAACTACCCCGGAAGCTGGGCATCAGCTTGATGGCTTGACTGAGGGGGGGAAGGGTGCAGAACCCACCCTAACTCTGCGCCTCCAGGTTACGAGGACAAAGGGCACGTTACCTTATGGTGGGGATGGGGTTCTCCGGCTCGCCGACAGTCATAGCAGCCTCCAGAGACAGAGTCCCCAGGCTGGCCCGGCTGCTCTTCCGGGAAGACTCACGGAACAAACCAGAACTGGGGTCCTCATCAGAGGAGTAGTCATCAAAGGAGCCCAGGATAAAGTTGGTCATCAGCTGCCTCTTGATGTGCTCTTGCTTCTCGTCTTCCTTGGAGAGGGGTCTGGCTCGATGACTCTGGGGCTTGGCTGGAGATGACAGGCCATTGATATCTGGGGTCTTCAGGCCTTCGGTCCCGGTCCCATCGGCTTGGGGTACTGAGCCGGCATCATCAGAGGAAAGGGAGTTTCCTGGGGGATTCTGGTGTGGGGGGTGCCCGGAAGTTCTTTGCTGATCGGGACCTTCAGCACCTCCGTGAGAGGCTGACTCAGCCTGGTTAGGAATCTTTGGAAGAGGGCCACCATCATCATTTTTCTGTGGTGGCTCCTCTGAGCTGTCTGAGGCTGGAAAGGGCGCTTGGCTTGGGATAGAGTTCTCTTCTGATTTACTCTTGGTGACTTGCTTGGAGTCTGTCATTTCCCCCCAGAATTTTAACCAGGTAAAGGTCAAACAGGAGAAAATCAAACAAGATAGAAAAAGAAGCAAGGTCATTCAGAAAATCTGTAAGGAAAAAAAAGGAAAGACCTTTTAGAGTCCACATAATGGGAGATATTTCCAGCTTAAAGGGGCTCAGGGGGCAGGAGGCAAGCTAGCGTTCTATGGATTCAGCTGACAATGGCCAGAGAGGAAGGGCTGTGGCCAGAGTGGTTCTGTGGATAACACGCTCTGTGGTCCTGGGCATGTTCCTGAACGCCTCTGGATGTCCGTTTCCCCCCTCTAATTTAGGTACACTAACACGTGCTCACCGTAAATCATCAACATGCACGTAAGAGAGAAACAGATCATGCCTGTTATAGATTCCTAAGACCCAAAAAGTAGAAACAATCCAAAGGCCCATTAACTGAAGAATGGGTAAACAGAAGGTGATCCAGCTGTACAATGGAGTCTTATCTGGTCATAAAATAGGAGCGAAGCATAGACACACGTTACAACGTGGATGCATCTCGTAAAACACTACACCAAGTGAAAGAACCCAGTCCCCAAAGTCCACGTTGTGTGAGCCCGTGTATTTGATATGCCCAGAATAGGCAAATTCATAGACAAAGAAAGATGAGTTGTTGCCTGGGGCTAATACGATGGGGCTAAAGGGTACAAGGGTTGAAAATGTTCCAAAACTGACGGTAGAGAATGTACTAGAAACGGAAGTACTTAGTGTACATGAATGAACCAGACGGTATATGAATTATCTCAATAAAGCTGTTCCCTTTTAAAAAAAAAAAAAAAGACTCTTTACAGATTCCAATTCATCGATGTCAGGGGACAGTTACTTCTGTCACCATTGTCTTCATCATCACTCCCCCATCACCATTGTATTACTGTCATAATCATCACCATGGTTCTGGAAGCAGGAAGGACGCTTTGCCTTATTTCCTCCCTAGTGCTAGTGCACCCGGCCTGGAGTATGCCTATAACTGAATGAAAAGCCAGCAAGACCAAAGGGAGTCTGTTCTGTTCCACGGTCTAGAACAGCATCCAATAAGCAGTGAGAGCTTACAAGACACAAAAATTCATTTTGTCGAGTGCACGAACTCAGGTATTCCCATTTCTAACCCAGGCCTCTTCCCTCCACGCTAACTCCGCCCTATTAATGAGTAGATCATTGTTTTCTGAAGTAAAGATTGTTTAAAAGCCAACAAACAAAAGCACGATCTGAACATGTTTGAATTTCGGAACCAATTTTGCCACAGGGATACGGTAGAAGCATAAAAAAAAAAAAAAAAGCCGGACCCACGAACCTCAAACATGTCACTTTAGTATCTAAAGGCTTTTGTCACATAAGAGACTTGTAGATGTGAAGAGCCAACAGAGGGTTGCTGGAGGGGTTGTGGGAGGCGGGATGGGCTACATGGGGGAGGGGCTCAAGGAAACTACCCTTGAAATCATTGTTGCACCATGTGCTAACTAACTTGGATATACATTTAAAAAGTAAATTAAAAATAAGTAAATAAGTAAATAAATAAAAGGCTTTTTGTCTTTTTTTACATTTCAATATTATGTTCTTAAGGGAAGTAGAAAAGTTCTCAAGATTTCCCAGAACTGCATGATCTCAGTACTTCTTATGCACTTCGAGCAACATAAACAGCTGAAATGTTGTCAAGGGTATTTTCCAGGTAACACACAGGGTCAGGAGGTTTTTTTCCTTTTAAGGTCATCAAGTTTCTTTTTATAGAAAAGGCAGTCAAGGGTGGCTCAGCGTCAATCAATGTAACAAACCACATCCATAGAACAGAGGGGAAAACGACATGATCACTTCAATTAACGCCAAAAAAAAAAAAAGGCATTTGACAAAAATCCAAAACATTTTCATGGTTAAAAAAAAAAGTCAGAAAAGTAGGCATAGAAAGGAGCTTCAACGTAATAAGGCACATTATGAAAAACCTATAGCTAATATATAATCAACGGTGAAAGAAGCTTTCCCCCTAAGATCAGGAACAAGACAAGGATGCCCACTTTTCACCTATTTCTCCCATTTTGCGATTATACTGAAGGTCCTAGCCAAAGGAATTAGACAAGAAGAAGAAATTAAAGCCATTCAGATGGAAAAGGAAGACCTAAAATCATCTCTAATCATAAGATGACATGATCCTATACACGTTTCCCCACCATCCAAAAGTAGAGAGGTTCCTATGAAAACTTGTTTAAGTTGTAATGACATAAAGCAAAGAAGCAGTTACCATTAATTTATAAGAAAACATTTTTGAGCATTCCCAGGCCCATAAAATAACCTCTCTTAGGCTTTTCTGGTAGCTCAGGACATGTCTTGCCGTTAGATACACAACATAAATCAAGACAAAACTCATAGGCTCACAGACACGCTTCAAAGCTGCGGTAGCTTGGTGCTGAGGTGCTGATGTAGTTCTCACCAAAGGAGCCTGGCAGTGCCACTCTCACTCATCTGGGTACTCATTGCCCTATAACAGCTCCCTGCAAACCAAATGCTGAATGCTATTTTCACTTTTCAATTTTTTTCCCAAAAGCAGAAATCCTCTTCAGATCTCCAGTTATCAAAAACAGGCACTGATATAGATCTAATGTAGGTCTTTCACAAGAGCAAAGTGCCATAATGTGAACTTTAGAAAGCAGGAGATGCCTGTATATAGGTAATCCTGAAGAATACACACACACACACACACACACACACACACACACACACATACACACACGAGGCGCCTGAATGGCTCAGTTGGTTGAGCAGCTGACTCTTGATTTTGGCTCAGGTCATGATGCCAGGGCCCTGGGGTCAAGCCCTGCATTGGGCTCTCTGTTGAGCATGGAGCCTACTTTAGATTCTCTCTCTCTCTCTCTCTCTCTCTGCTTCTCTCCCCCATGTACACTCTCTCTCTATATGATTAAAAAAATAATTAAAAAGAAAAAGAATCCACACACACAAAACCCTAATAGAAATAATAAACAAATTAAGCAAAATTGTAAGATACAGGATCAATATGCAAAAATTAGTTGTGCTTCTGTGCACCAACAATGAACAATCTGAAAAGGAAATTAAGAAAACAATTCCATTTATAATAACATCCAAAAGGATAAAATATCTAGGAATAAATTTAACCAAAGAGGTGAAAGACCTGGTCAATGTTGGTGTATAAAGCATTCCTGAAAGAAATGAAAGAAGATCTAAATAAATGTAAGACATCCCATGTTCATGGATTGGAAGACTTCTGACTGTTAAGACGGCCATACTACCTGAAACAATGTACAGATTCATATGGAGCTGCAAGGGGACCCAATAGCCAAAGCAATCTTTGAAAAAGGACAAAGTTGCAGGACTCACTTACTGTAAAACTATAGTCAAAACAGTGTGGCACTGGCATAAAGAACAGACATACAGATCAATGGAATAGAATTAAGCATCCCAAAATAAACCCATACATCTATGGCCCATAGATTTTTATTATGAAGATATTGAGACCATTCAATGTGAGGGTTGGGGGGATGCCTCACTGGCTCAGTCAGAAGAGCATGAGACTCTTGATCTCAGGGTCATGAGTTCAAGTCCCACGCTGGGTATAGAGATTACTAAAGAAAATAAACTTAAAAAAAAAAAAAAGACCATTCAAGGGGGGAAAAATAGCCTCTTCAACATACGGTTCTGGGACAACTGATGAGGTTGGACTCCTAACTCAGAGCATACAAAAAATTAACATAATGAGTCAACAACCTAAATAGAACTAAAACCACAAAAAATTTTTTTAAAGAGAACATAGGAGTCAACTGTGGTGGGCTTGGAATTGGCAGTGGATTCTCAAATGGGACACCAGAAGCATGAGCATAAAACAAAGGTAGATAAATTGGACCTCATTCAAATTAAACATGTTTATGCATCAAAGAACACTATCAAGGAAGTGAAAAGACAGCATACAAAGTGGGAGAAAATATTTGTGAATCACATATTTGCTAACAGTTTAGTGCCTGGAAATTATCCAGAAGTCTTTTTTTTTTTTTTTTTAATCTCTATTCTTTTTTTTTTTTTTTACAAATAATTTATTGTCAAATTAGTTTCCACATAACACTCAGTGCTCATCCCCAAAGTGCCCTCCTCCATGCCCATCCCCCCTTTCCCCCCACATCCATCAGTCCTCAGTTTTTGTCAGCATTCAAGAGTCTCTCATGGTTTGCCTCTCTCCCTTTCCCCCACCATTTCCGCCCTTCTTCTCCCCCTTGTTCCTCCGTCAAGTTCCTCCTAATCCTCCTATACGTGCAAACATATGATATTTGTCCTTCTCTGCCTGACTTATTTCGCTCAGCATAACACCCTCAAGGTCCATCCATGTTGCTACACATGGCCAGATGTCATTGTTTCTCATTGCCATGTAGTATTCCATGGTATAGATAAACCACATCTTCTTGATCCATTCATCTGTTGATGGACACTTAGGCTCTTTCCATGTTTTAGCTATTGCGGAGAGTACTGCTATGAACATTATCCAGAAGTCTTATAAGTCAACAACAAAAAGACAGACAACCTGATTGTAAATGAGCCCAGGACATGAAGAGACATTTCTCCAAAGAAGATATACAAATGGCCAACAGCTCACGAAAAGATATATACCCTTAGTCGCTATGGAAACGCAAATCAACAAAGCAAAGTACCACTCCACACACACACAAGGTTGGCTGCAATCAGAGAGACAGAGAGCGAGGGGAGGAGGGAGGGAAGGAGGGAGGCAGGAGGGAGGGGAGAAAACAGCAAGGTGTTGGTGAGGCCATGGCGGAGCCTCTGTATGTTGCTGGGGGGAATGCAAAATGTTGCGGCCACTGTGGAAAACAATTTGGTGGCTTCTCAAAAAGTTGAACACAGAGCTGCTATACGACCCAGTACTTTCACTCCCTAGATGTCGCCCCACAAAACTTGAAAGTAGGGACTGAAACAAATAGAGGTTCGGGCCTATTCACAGCAGCCCCCAGCTTTCTGATGCCCTTTCTCCCCAAGGCTCCCCAACCACACGGCACTATTGACTTCCGGGGCTGGAACATTC